GTAGACCAGGTTGCCCTGATAAAAATACTATTTTTATTATGTAAGACTTTTTAAAATAAACTAGAAATGAACCTGCATGAATCAAGATCAACTCAATTAAAGTTTAATTTAATTGTTTGCTTAATCCATTATATGAACTCTAGTGCGCATCCATTTGAGTAATTTTTGGTAGAATTATAAGTCTAATTCTATGGTTTGCTTCAGCTGCTAGTTAACAAGTGTGTGGATGAACAAACATTTCAAGAACAAATATCTTTCCGGGAAAAGCTAGATGCAGCTGCTACTTGATCTCAACTTGTTTTGCTAACCTACTTATTATTGCTCATTGCTATGTTAGGTCACTCCTTCATGGTAACAGTGTTGTTTTTCATCCAGTTTGCCTCTCCTTTCTCCTTACTAATTCTTACTAATTCTTATATGCTTGCCACAACATCATTCTTTATTGTACTTCCAGAGAAGTATGTAAGAAACATTTTTAGTTTCTGCAGTAATTTTTTCATATATTTATTTTTTGCAATATGTCAATAGCATCCATTCCTGAAAACTGAGGAGCTAACAATAAAAAAAAAACATTGTTAAAAGTGCTCAGAAACACCCACTCACCCCCCTAAAGAGTAATTAAAAATTCCAACAACATTTAATGGGACAAAAAAAAACCAGACCACATAAGGTTTCTATCAATGCAACCCAATTTCTTAACATCCTTTTCTCTTGGACTAGATGGAAAAGCAAGGTATTAATTGGTCTTCTAAAACCCAAGCACGAAGAGAGTGAAATAACTCCAAAAGCATAGGAGCAGCAGTTGGAAATATCCACTTCTAGGTCCTGTCATATGACATTCTCAAAGAGATAAGACCTAGATAGAATTAGCCTTGAGAAGAGAAAAACCAGATATGGAGCCATGTAAGGCTTCAAAGAAAACCATCAGTGCTTTTAATTGCACCTAGAAGCCAACTGGCAACCAATGCAGTACCCAAGACAATGGGTTCGTCTGACTATAAAAGAAACTGTCATTATTGCCTAGACTACCGCACTTTGTACTAGATGTTGCTTCATAATGCTTTTCCAAAGTAGCCCAATATACAGTATATTACAGTACTCCAGACAAGTTCTGACTGCATCAGAAAGGTTATCTGCTCTTATAAAGTCTTTAGTAATTAGCACTGATCTAAGAGAGTTCTGGCCCTACTCTTAACTGAGTCTATGACTGAACCAAGTAGGCAGCTAGTTTGCTGTAGTAGTTAAGATATCAGGCTAGTAATTGGGAGACCATGAGTTATAGATCTGCCATAGGCACAAAGCCAACTGGGTAACCCTGGGCCAGTCACTCTTTCTCAGCCCTATGAAGGAAGCAATTGCCAACTACTTCTGAAATCTTATCAAGAAAATGGCAGGGACTTGCCCAGGCAATTGCCAGTAATCAATGCTGATTCAAACAAGCGAAGACTGAACCTAAAGTATTCTCTCAAAGCACCACCTAGCATTCATGGTGCCAGTTTAAATCAATCACTTGGAAACAGCTCTATAATTTATTTCATAGCAACTAACAAAGCCACCACTAACTCTTTAAGCAGTCCCGTTAACAGTTGCACTTCACAACAGTAGTAAGACAAGAATACAACACTCATTGTGAGACAAAAATACAGGTAACAAAGGCTAAGGATTAGGGTTAGGGTGATCTTTTATATCAGAAATAGGCAATCCTCTTGCTCTTGAACAATTAACATCAGACTATTTTCAAAAGCTCTTTAAAGGTATATTTTATACCATTTAGCACATACCATGCATTTTTCATAAGTACAAGAGTTATATAAAAAGGTAAACTATCTTCCAATTTGTATTTAGGGTAGAGAGTGCAAATTAGGCTGGTTTAATTTCAAATTCCAATAAAATCCACAATTGTAAGTACCACACCACTCTAATGCAGAATTTTGATCCTAAAAGGTAAAGGCCATTATGGTGGGATATACATGTCAGGTGATCAATGAACAGAGCTAAAGGGCTATCCACCTAGTATCATCTAGATGTTGGTAGCTTTCCTACGGAGTAGCTGAGTACTGAGTACCTATTGAGATTGCATACATAAGATACTGAATAGTGCTATATGAACATGAAACAATATTATTTCCTATTTTACTATATATTCCCTTTTTGCTGTTTTTAAAAAATAAATACATAGAATATTTGGGGAGGAGGGAGAGAAAACTTTGTGCCAACTCATTAAAGATAACATAACTTACAGCCATGCTGTAAGTCATCTGCCAGTTTCCTGGCTTTTATTCCAAATATCCCATCCTGTAGAATTTCCTTCATTAGGTATCTAACAGAATCTCATTGGCAAGAAAGTTTTCTCTAGCTTTCTTCATAGTCTTCCTAATTTATTTTCCTTCAAACCAACTATCTATAAATGGAAGACTGTTTTTACTTTTAAAATTGCAGGATTAAATTAATAGGATTTTTTTTTAACTCTTAGGACAGGAGTCTGCAAACTTAAACACTCAAAGGGCCATTTGAACCAGTTTCCAACAGAAAACACTGGGAGACACAAAACCTGGGTGGGCGTGGCCAACTCAACATCACTCCTGTCCAGTTACATGACCTCCCCAGCCACGCCTACCCAGGTTTCCCTTCTCCCTCATTTGTTTCCCTCTTTCCCCTCTCTTTCTCTCCTTCCAGCTCTCTCATTTCTCCCTCCCTCTCCCTCCTTCTCCCCCTTCTCTCTCTCATTTGTTTCTTTTCCTCTCTCTCATTCTCTCCCTCTATTTTCTCATTTCTTTCTTCTTCTTTTTCTACCCTTTTCTCTCCCATTTTTCCCTCTCCTTTTCATGTTTTCTCTTTTTTCTCTCCCTCTCTCTCCCCCCTTCTCTCTCATTTGTTTTCCTCTCTTTTTTCTCTCTCTCATTCTCACGCTCCAACTCTCTCTCGTTTCTCTCTTTTTTTTTCCCCCTCCCTTTTCTCTCTCTCTCATCTCTCTCACGCGTGCTCACGCACATAAGAGAGATATCCTCCTGGGCCAAGATCATGATGGTGACTCCTCCTCCCACTGCTGCCACTAAATGCTCAGGTGGATAGCCAGCTGCGCCGTGCAGAAGTGCCAGAGCTCTTCCCTCTCTGCATCTGGTGGTGGTGGCGGCTGCTCCTCCTCATTCCCCTCCTTCCTGAGCCAACACAAAGGGGACTGTGCCTGGTACTGAGCTGCCCACAAAGGATGCAGAAGCACAAAAAGTCAATCATGGGCAGTGCAGAGAAAACGCTAGGGGCAGTTCAGCTGTGCGGCTCTGTGGAGGCTTGCGCCTTCTCGGGGTGGAGAGTAGGTCACATGACTGAGTGGGCCAGTGTCTCAGGGCAGAGCAGGTTGCACAACCGGGTCAGCAGGGAGCTGCAGGAGAGGAGTCAAAGAGCCACTTGCGGCTCTGGAGCCACTGGTTACTGACACCCGCCTTAAGAGAAAATTGAGAATACTATCAAATGTCACACAATCATCTTAATATTTACAGAAACACTTGTCTTATTATTTTGTTATGACTTTTTAAGGCTGCTATATAGAGCACAAGAAAGACTCTAATCTGCACATGCTAAGAAATCTGCTTCTATTTTTAAATAAATTGAAATTGAATGACAAAGGCTATAAAGAGTCACTTGGTTGAGTTGGGCAGCTATAGAAATTGAATAAATAAATCAATGAAGAAGGATGTGACCATTTTACAATACTGTGACGTACATCATCACATTTTCAAGTCATTCTTCCTGTGCAAATGCAGCATAAAAATTATCTCTACAAATATGTCTGTTTGGGTTCAAAGGAATTTTACTGAAATATCTCTGCTTCTAAGTATTATTATACCACCATTTTAATTACAGCTTGCCAATTTGGTGTCCTCTGACACAGAGGGGCAAGTGGGGGAGTGATTGAAACTGACAACTTTTATACTCCTTGAAGTATAAATGTTTGAAACTTGCAGACTTTATACTCCTTGAAGCTGACATGAATTAGTGTTGATTTAGGGAGTAAAATATTGGAATAAAACTGGTATGTCTGATGATGAATTAAAACTGTTTCTGACATAATCTGGGGATAATATCAGGACAACATTGTGGAACCAAGAAAAAGACTAGCATTGCCAAGGCATGACTGAGATAAAATGCACATACAAACAAGGTCATCACACATAGGGCCGGTCCTACTGCAGTAGTAAAATGAAATATTTATCTCAGGCAGTTGTTTCTGAAAGATGGCTGCAAGTTAGTGAAGAAGAAAGTTGTATAACATGCCTTGCCTGCAGCTTTCTCATGTAGTTATACTGCTGCTGTTCCATGTTCAGTAATAAATGCAGATTCAGCTATCAGTCCAGTCAGATTATATGTGGTATGGCACCTGAGCCATCATCTTGTTGATTGGCAAATATAGATCAGATTGCTCACGTATACTGTAGTTTGTAAAACATGACAGAATGGCTCTAACTACTTCTGGTATTTCCCTCATAATTGTGCTAATTAGGTGCCCTTCCATGGTAAATCAAACTTTATACTTTTTGCTTTACCTTCCTGTCCCTTGTAAATGCATATTAATTTATTGGATAGATTTATGCACCATCACTCTACTTCAAAGAATAACTTAGTGGTTAACAAAACTAAAAATGAGGGGGTGGAGTTTGGTTTTAAAGGTGAACCTAATAATCCTGGAGGTGCAGAAGAATCCAAGTTTCAGCTTAATCTCATCCATCAAGCCATCTTCTTACTAAAATGAGTAAGAGTATCCACTTGGAGCATGCAAAACATACCTACTTCACAACACACTTTAGTATGAATGAGGCATCTCTCTTTGAATCATTAAGGTAGCCTCCTCTTTTGCAAAATGGATTAGATATATGTAGCGCTGTACTTCTAATTGCTAAGAAATCTGTATGTGTGTGAGCATGTATATGCGTGTGCAAGCATAAGATTAAAGGAAGAGGAAATAATGGTTATAAATTAAGATTATGGAAAATGAATATACATACCTGGGGCAGTGCAGAATTCAGTTGTCGTTGAAGAGAATCTCTATCGTAAATCACATCTTGAAGTCGTTGCTGTGCCAGAGATAAACTTTCTTGGGTCTCCCGAAGAGTGTCTAGAAGACGATCTCTTTCATCCAGCATATTCACCATTAGCTGTTCAAAATGAGAATCGGAGTCCGATCCGCTGCTCTGGGACCCCCTTTGACTCATTGGGGTGTCCTCGTTTATTGTAGGCATCACTTCGCACATCATTTCTTAAAATAAAGAGAGAGAGGAAAGAAGAAAACTTTCAGTAAAAGGTAGCCAAAGGTTTTTATTTATGACAGAGAGGAGGAGAGACAAAGTAGAGAGAGGAGGGTGGGGGGAGAGAGATTGAGATTGGTCCCATATTATTCAGTTGCCTCATATTATTTTGTTTTTGACTATTAGGCCAAAAGCTGCCAAGCAGCTATTTTAAAAATGTATTATAATGCCATGATACCCCTATGCCCCCCGCCCCTTCTCTCTCTCCTGGCAGTTCAATGCTTAAGTCTCAACTAGCACCGAATACAGTGTATTTTGAAAACATGGCAGTTTGTTTGTTTACTTAAGGTGGTTTTTGTTTAAATGATCTTCCTCCACTTATTATTTTTGTATATATTTTGTGCTATCATGAACAACTCTGCTTAGGACCTCTATACAAAAGAATCTATTGTCAACTTTAGCTAAAGAAAATCAAGCTTTTCTTCAGGACAGTTGCCTATGACACAGGATAACCCTTCAGCTAGGAAAGATTTCCCAAGAAAGCTAATTTATTTATTTTATTTAATTATTTGTTAAATTTATTTACTACCTATCTCATGGGACTATTTTAGGCAGCCTCCAATAATGAAAAGGAAGCAAAATGAAAGGAATGTAAACAAGTAAAATAATAGAATCATAAAATAAACAAGGAAGGAACACTATGAGAATACATCAATAGGATAACCAAAAAGATGTTAATTATCTAGTTAGATTCTTCTTAATAATATCATATATTCTATATTGGTTATGCAGATTAATTAAATGAAAATAGTCACTATATTTAATCTTAGCGATCATTATTAAAATAACTAAAATGTATGTAAACATGAGTGGGACTCAGAAATGAAACTAATTATATAATCAACAAGAAGCAAAGTATCTGTCCCTCTCTGTAAACAGCCATGTCAAAAACAACTGAAGTTCTTCAAACCATAATTTTTGGTTTGAAATATTGTACATCCTTTGCTGAGTGGATTCTCAAACTGTGGATCATGATCCTTTGAGTTGCAAAGAATTGGAGGAGGTAAATACCCAAAGCAAAATAACTGTCAATCTATTCCTAATCTGCCTAGACAAACTGGCAGCTGGCTCTTCTAAACAAAACACAGAAGAATTCAGTTTTATGTACAGAGAATCTGTTAAGAACTGAATCTGACAAGGTGAAAGCCCAACAGTTGCCAAGTTAGAAAGAACCATAACATAGACGTGTCTAATTACCAAAGGCCATCAAACCTTCAGATAATTTAGAAATAGGGTAATGCCCACTATTTAAACTCAATGCCTTTAATCGTTATGCATTTAAACAGAAATGCATAAAATTGCCCTCTTCTTTGCATTTCAGAGAACAAACCATAAATCCGTATAATATGGCTACAGTTTTCCCTAGAAAACTCCTATCAGCAACTCAAAGAAAGGTTTAAATTGGATAAAAAGTGCTATGGATTTGATTTCCTTAAAAATGAAATGAATTTTTAATATGTGGCAATGATGAACATATTATTCCTAAAATTTATAAAATGTTATTGAAACTGAACATAGAAAATGAAATGCATGATCCAGTGGGCAAGGAATTTTGGATATAAGGTGATGCTTGAACAATGGGAAAATATGTGGAAAAAGACTTTAAAATTTACACTAAATTACAATTTAAAAGATAATTTTTATAAGATGATGTATCATTGGTATTTAACACCAGATAAGCTATCTAATACGTATAAAGGTATGATAAATGAATGTTGGAAGTATATAAATAAAGGACTTTTTATCATTTATGGTGTTCATGTGATAAAGCAAAAATATTTTGGAGTATGATTCACGCTAATACAGAAAATTCTGAAAATGGAGATAGAAATGAAACCAGAACTTTTCCTTTTGAAACTAATGGAAAAAGAACTGGAGAAAAAAATGGAACTTTGTTGCTATATATGTTGACAACAGCAAGACTATTGTATACACAAAAATGGAAAGACATTTTGCTCATACAAAGATGGAGTTGGCTGAAATGGCAAAACTGACTACTCTGATTAAAGAACAAACATAAGTACTTTCGTTTCCACATGGAAACTCCTTCTGAATTTTGTGCTTGGTGTGGAAAAGAATGTAACTTTGACTTTGGGTTTTATAGATTGATAGATCTTTATAGAAATGACTTATTATGGAAAAACAAAAAGCTGTGATTTGATTTTAATGGCCTATTCTGCAACAGAGAGTCGGAAGTCTTTTTTTTCTCTTTTACCTACCTTTCCTCACTTCTCTCTCCTCCTTCCCCTCCCTTCTCGTTAGAGTTTAATCTAATAATGTTGTGGCCGAGGATTACCTATATCTGAATCAGGAGTTAAATGTTTGGAAAAGTGAGATTTACTGCCAAGCTGTGCTGTGAAGCTTGGCAAAATTGATATCAAAACTCATTCGAAGAATAGTTTTAACAAGTTCTGAAACAGGGATGATTCATGTTATAAGTTGCTTGGCTTTCAGATTCTTATAAATGTTTATGGTCTGTTGTACCCAAAGTGAGTAGGAATCTAAAACTCTTTCCAGATACCTTAGATGAAAAAGGGATAAAAGATCCTTAAAAGATGCACCAATTGATCATAAATCAACAATTCAATTAGAAAGAATAAGAAAGCAAATGCAAGTTATATATCTGAATTTTAGTACGAAGAATTGGATGGGCCAATTTTGGAGAATAAATGTGTCCAGCTGTTAAGAAACATAAAAAATACTTCTTGGGTTTTAAAGACAAAATTAACTCATCAGAAAATATTCTTTAATGCTTATTATAGCCCCAGAAAATGTAAAAAAAGAATGGATATTAGATTTGCTGACATATTAAAAAATTTAAGGAAGGCTGTGAGTTTGACCCTAGGTAGTGGCAGATATTTCTCTCTCTGGGCAAAATGAGAATATATCAGCTACAAAATCTCCTCATCGGTGACAGGAAGGGCATCTGGCCAGGAAACACTCAGCCCCATTCAGTTGCCCTGACTCCAGCCCATAAGGGATTATGAGGTCATTAAAAAAGAAAAAGAATATGATTTGATCTTATACAAGTATAGTTTTGGTTTGATTTCAAATTATTATGTACATCAGTAATATTATAGTTAAGTTTCTCAATGTGATGCTGAACTTAAAACATGATGTTTACCATCCAATGAAGAGTTTTAGTCTACCGATCCTGGGGCACAATAAAGAGGATAATTTTATAAAATTGGAAAGAAACTTTTAAGGAATCAATCCAGGATATCAGTTTATTATCATTTTTTGAAAAATCTCTGTGTTCTAAAAATGAACAGATGACACAGTATGTTGCTAGGTGTAGTTTTAACACACTGACTTAACTGCATTGACTTAACTGCATTTAGCTGTAGAGTTTTTTTTCTCTCTTAATTACTATATTCTTTTATCACATTTACTTTAATTCACTATATTATGCCTAATCTTTTACTCACTGTCTGATAATGTCTATTTTCTTTTGATGGTGTAGTTTTTAAAATTTATTTCACTATTTAAAAATAAAGACCACTGTGAACTTTTTTAAAAAAATCTGCAAATCAGTAAAAATCATTTTACTGTAATATTATATTATCCAGCTTTAACCTTGGTATGCTTGTTTTGCCCGAGGACAGAAACAGATTTAGCTTTACAGCTGGTACTTTCAAAAATAGAGAACTAACAATTTCCTTAGTTTTTCATACCAACAAGCTCTGCACCAAATAAAGCTTATGAAGCAATATAGATGCAGCTTAGACATTTTTTTCTCTTTTTGCTTCCTATGATCATGATCACTGGTGCAATCATTTGGTCCAATACTAAGTTTTTGAAAACTCAAAAACAGGTACAGGTTGCCTTGACTTACAATAGTTCATTTAGGGACTGTTTTGAGGTTACAAAGGCATTGAAAAAAATTATGACTTATGATTGCTTTTCACATGACCATTGCAGCATTAGGATCAAATGTGAATGATCATGTGATCATAATTCAGACACTTGGCAATTGACTTATATTTATGACAATTGCAGCGTCCCATGGTCAGGTGATCACCTTTTGTGACCTTTTGACAATGGGAAAGCCATATTCACTTAACAACCATCTTACTAACTTAACAAATGTAGTGATTCACTTAACTACTGTGGCAAGAAAGGATGTAAAATGGGGCAAGATTCACTTAATTGTCCCACTTAGCAACAAAAATTTTGGAAGTAAGTCGAAGACTATCTGCACATGATATTGGTATGTGTGTGTGCAATTTGATACATCATTTTATAAACTTGAGTTGACTTAGTAAAGTTATTGTCTTAATTGATTTTTTTATTGATGGTTACTTTCACCCTAACAAATGGAAAAGCTGATGGTTAATTTTATTTATTTATTGTTACTACACACATCACTCTCACACACAGATACACACATTCCTTCCAAAGCATTTTCCCAGGGCATTTTATTCATCATTTTAAAGACACGTTTAAAAATGAACTAAGTCAGAAATATGGTATATCTCATAACAGTTAAGAAGATCAAAGACATTTTTAAAAACCATAGGCATCCTGGAACTTTTTTAAAAATTGCAATATATTATAATGATCATTTTTGCTATATGATCATGAGAAATGGAATTTTATAAGGTATTCACATCTTAACAACGCCCATCTGAATATACCAAATAAAGATTTTATAAAAGATAATTTGATAGGTGTCAAGACAAAGGTACCCCATTTGGGATACCATCATTATAATCTATTTTTCAACGAGTGGATCAACTTTTAGAAATATAGACAAGGAAAATAATATTTATCTGACATATACTTCTTTTCTTCTATGCATTAAGGCAGGGGTGTCAAACTCAATTTAATTGAGGGCCACACCAGGGTTGTGTTTGACCTCGGGGGGGGCTGGGTTGGGCATGGCCAGCTCAACATCACTCATGTTGGGGGTGCCTGTGGTGGCCTGAGTGCTCTTCCAGTGAAAATGA